TAACTAAATCTTTTAAATGAATGTAGTGAAATAAAAAGTGCAATATTTGCTTTAAAAATATGGTGGAATTTGGACCCTGAAGGCAGCGTGGTTCTCTCTACAAAAATCCAATGGTATTTTTCCTTTGGATTTTGCATTATTGCAGGAAGTAATCTCCGTATTGTTCTTAAGATAACATACTTCTCTTCAGCTTGTGTTAACCACAGGCTAACAATCAAAAAACACATTCAGAGAACCATTGACTTCCAGAACAGGGGACTGGAAGTGGTCTTTTTATTTTATTTCTTACTTTATTGAACATTTATTTTCAAAGAAATCAGGATTTAAGGTGTGTAGAAATTGGTCAAATTGAAGGGCTTTTTTTACTTTTGCAACATTTAATACCTGTCATTAAGAAACCCAATAAATACTAGAGAACTATCACAACTTATTTTCCAGATTCAAAGGCTTTATTATCATATGTGCAGGTTATGTTGCAAGACCAATGTGCGGATAATGCAAATATAAACTATTTACATGTACAAAATGTAATAATATAAGCTAAATGTCGCAAGTAAATGCAGGAGTCTATAAACATGTACAGACAATAGAATAAGATAAACAAGAACAGAGTGTGAAATAATTACTGTACACACTGAAACATTGACTTTCATTAAATGTATTGTCAACAAGTTTCAGTTTTTCCAGTGAAGTGAAATAAAACACTGTTTATTGGAGTCATTTAAACCCAGAATCAAGGCCCTTGTGCAGACAGCGTTGCGTGCATCACGTCCGACTGAAACAAAACCAGAGTTTAAGCACTTTAAATTCCTCCCTAAACCTGTTGCCCCATCTGAACGAGGTCCAAGATGTTCTGGGGGTTAAGTGGTTTTGTGCTCTGAGCGGTAATGAAGTGAAGTGACAGCTCCAGGTGGCGAAGCAGCAACTGTTGGCGCTCAGAGATAAATAATAAAACAACTGTGAGCCGAGGAACAGAGGACAAGAAGAGAGAAAAGTACACACATCCTTTACTCAAGTAGAAGTACTCGTGTTTAAAAATACTCTGGTGAAAGTAGAAGTACTGACTAATCTTCTTTACTCAAGTAAAAGTAAAGAGGCTTTGAAATGTACTTCAGTAAAAAGTACCCATAACTAGCAGCTGTTTTAAAGAGTACCTGACCTCCCTTTATATTAATAGAACAATAGCCGCGTTCACACCAAGTACTTTCCTGTACTTAGTTCCGGCACTAAGAGCCCCGGCGCTTTTAACCCCAGGGCACTTAGTACAGATCGCGTTCACACCGGAGTACTTTTCCCTGAGGGAAGATTACGCAAATGAGCCGCTGACGTCACTTCTTCTTCTTCTGCTTTGGCTTTACTGGCAGGCCACAAACCACTTCACGGCGAGTACAGTAGGTGGCGGTATGCACCTTAAAGTTGTTTGCAATCCGCTACAAAACAAGAGAAGAAGAAGAAAAACTTCCCGCGTATACTGTCTGTTGTTTACCTTCCGACCTCAGACATGATGGAGATGGAGTCGACTGAAGTTGTGCTGTTTGTGCTCATGTTATACAGCTTTGTAACTTCGTTAATGCGGCCAGAGCCTGAGCCTATTAGGCGTCCGACACAAATCCGGAGCCGCCACACGTCGAATGCTATAATCGCAAAGTTTCTTCAGCATCAAAGGCAGTTCAAAAGTTTTAGGAAAAGGATTGGCCGACGGAAAGCACACATGATTGCCATGTTTCACCGTAGGATGGCTGATACAGGATCTGTTTAATCGCCATGTCGGTTTTCTTTATTGCACTCTCAAGACATAACATTAAATAGAAATATTTTAAATGTAACTAAAGTGTCAGTTGTACATGTCAGTAAACATTGTCAATATAAAATAAAGTGTCAGTTGTACTATATAATAACAGTAATAACAATATAAAATAAACTCCAAGGTGTAGGGAGTCTCAGCAGCAAACCCACCTTTATTATATATCTTCCTGAGACCCACTGCATCCGTCTGCCATAAACACTATGCAAACATACATGTTAGTTTTGGCCCATAGTGGACTCCATGTTGTGTTGTGTGAAATGGGGGGGAATTAAAAGTTTAGGTCAAATAATATTTAAAATGATATAAATTATCATATTTGTGTATGTGCCGCTGCCATTCCCCCACAAGGTTGCAACATTGATGATAAATAAATGACAAATAAAGCTTTGCCAGTTTATAACCGATGAAACATGATGGTATCAGAATAATCACTTACACGTGATGTATAGGATGCTACACAGGTCACAAAAGATAAAGTGTCAGGAGAAATAAGCTTAATCGCCATGTCGGTTTTCTTTATTGCACTCTCAAGACATAACATTAAATAGAACAATTTTAAATGTAAATAAAGTGTCAGTTGTACATGTCAGTAAACATTATATATAAAATAAAGTGATAAGCTGGCGCTGGCGCTCCATCTGCTGCTTGAACACTTCTGCCTGGCGCTCCATCGAGGTGAGCATCTTGTCCTCCGTTTCCTGGGCCTTGGTGAACAGCACCATCTGATCTCCACGCAGCGACTCATTCACCACGGCACGCCGGTCCTCCAACGCCTGGACGGTCTCAAAGAAAAGTGCATCCTGTGTCCGCTTTCCTAAGAGGGGAAAATAAGCAAGATACAAGATCAACAACCAGAGACAATACATCATGTATTTTTTAGCTGCCCGGATTATAACAGACAAAGACTCATTCTGAAAACTGCACTGGAACAACTCAACATCAAGGACATGGATTTCAAGTCAATATACGAAAGTAAATCAAGAAATGAAGCAAACAAGCTGATCTTCAAATTCTTCAAAGGCACTGGTCTGAGGACAAGGATTTAGTATAAACATTTAATAAATCAACAGTAGGTGGGGTTATATGCTCCAAGTGGAAGCGATTTCTTACCGGAAGTCATGTGACCTCTAGCCCGGATGTTTACAATGTTTGTGAGAGAGTAAAAAGGCGCGAAAATGTGTAAATGCCGGTCTAGGCGAATACTCTTTCACGCTGTTTCATAATTGTACCAAGAAGGAAATAAACATGATTGTGAACATCAGTTCCATGCGTAACGTTCTTTCAAGACAAAGTTACAGTGTGTGTACCTTTGCGTTTGGTTGCTGGTAAGGGAGACAAGCAAGCGAGCAAGCTCTGGGGCCTCATTTATAACGCCTTGCGTAGGATTGACGTAGGAAGGTTGCTTACGTAGTACAAAGCACAAAAATAGGTACAGAAATGTTCCGCCATTTTCCGATTCACAAAACATTGCGTACCGGCGAGGGAAGTGCGTACGGCACTCCCTACGCCTGTTTCCCTTTATAAATCACAATCGACTCGTAACGCCCATATTTGCCTATACATAGTCAAAGAAACGCCCATTCATTCATTCATTTTGACTGACTGCATGAAGAAGATCGCAGGAAATTACGATAGAACAGCTAAAAAAGACATCTCTCACCGTGTCAGATTTTGGTTATTGTGGGGAGGTGGAGATAAATCATATTGTTTGGTGGATGCAGTTTGAACCAGAGTAGCAGCATGGAGGTCGGATCGTCACCAAAATAAATAAATAAGTGGTCCGAAAAAAGTTAATGACAAAAAAAATACACATAACCTTCCTCAGGCAGTGTGTTTGTCCCGGGGACAGGAGACACCCCCTTGATGAGAAACTGTAAGAAATGATCGGGGAATCCCTCCGGAGTGGAGTCATGACGACTGGATCTGAATTATTTTTGTTGTATTTGGTGGTTTGTGTTCCAGCTGTCGATCAGCAACTATATATCCATAATCCACCAGTTAAAGGAAATACAATTAATGGATTGTGTTATATTAGCTGTACAATTTACCGCATATGGTGTTCTTAGTTTCCATGCCTCCTGTGTTTTACGAGCGACTTATCAAGTCTTGGCAAACGGCATAAAACACGATTAAACGTGATAGTATATAAAACCATGCTCGTATCTACAACCTATAGAAATGCAAAACAGCGTCAGTTTAGACGTCATTCTGTCCTCCTGCTTACCGCATCATTTATGAGAAAACATTTCATAACATTAACACAACATATTCGAGGTGGTTTTAAATAGCATATCCGTATTTATTTATTTCTCCAAGTTATGTTTTTGTGTGCACTGAGGAGTCTCAAACAGGCGTTTGTTTAATCATTTAAAGATTGGCTTTAATCAATGTTTGAAAATGAATTCTTCATATTTGATAAATGAGAGGTAACATTTTATTTATGGTATTATTTCCACATATTTCTCTCCATTCTTCCTTCTGCCAACGGTGTCGCAGTTTCTCGTCTCTCCCGTTTGTGTGCTTAGTGCGTACGCATGGGTTAGAGTTTGCGTGGAGGACAGCACATTTTCCCGTCAAGTTAGTATTTTATAAATCGCAAACATTGCGTAGAAACTGGCGTACGCCATTTTTTGAGCGTATATCCCTTTATAAATGAGGCCCCTGATCTCCAACGCCAAGAAGCTCGCTTGTTTCCAATACCGAGTGTTGCTGATTTTCCTCGCCTGAAACACACGATTAGTTCCATGAGTTAGTGAAGCAAATTACAGAAACACTGCACAGTTATTCACAAGTCAAAACGTTTTCATAGCAGCCGAGAATATCTAGCTAGCTAGATGTTATTAGCCAGCTCGGGGCCAGTGTTAGCTAGTTCAGCCTAGCATGGCTAGCTTGATCTACTGAGCAAATAAAAGTACATCTGAGACCATTATTGTGCAGATTAAAACCCCAGTGCATGTAGTTGCTTTTACCTTCGTCGTGGTCGCCCTCTAAATCCGCCGTTGGAGCGGCCTCCAATACCATACTGCCCGACTCAAGGCTCGATGCTGTACCGGAGAATGAAGGTCTGTGGCTGAGCAAAGCATCCAAGCGGTCGTACCATTTACTGCTCTTCCGGTCGTTACCACTTTTATTATTCCAGTCTTTAATTTGTTTGTAGTCCTGCCGGAGTTTCTTTATTTTTAGCCGGCATGCCATGGCGCTGTGCAAGATTCCCATCTCAAGCAACTTCTTCGAACAACGATCGAACATCTTCGAGTTGGGTACTGGCTTCAGCAGCATTCCCTGGGTCGCGTCCTCGGTGTAGATCTCAAGAAGCGCTGATACCTCTTCATCACTCCATCGCTTCGATGATTTCCTGATGTTTGCCATAACTGCGTTAAAAAACAAAAACCGTCGGTCCGCTGGGTTTTTGTAGCAAGGAAAAACAATGGCGGCTCTACACAACATTTTCACAGTTGTACGGGGCGTGGTTTGCAATTCGCCTAGCCAATCAGCACTGAAGCACTTTTCACCCTCAGGAAAGTACGATCTCTCAGCGGGCACTAAAAATGGGGGTAAAAGTTCCCGAGATTAAGTACGATTTTTGGTGTGAACGCGACATAAGGGGTACTAACGGAACTAAACGCGAAAAGTACGGTGAAAAGTACTCCGGTGTGAACGCGGCTAATAATGTCATTGTTAGCTAATGAATGTTTCCATGCTGAACAACGGCAACATGACAACGTTTTCATTGGTCCCTCTTCTTTAGAGAAGACCAGGAAATTATGGATACACGGATCGTGTTCAAATCAATAGGCACGCAATGACTCTAAATAATAATGATCACGCCACCAAACACACATTCAAACTAAAGGAACCAGCCTGTTTGGGAAATGTAAGAAGTAGAAAGTACAGGTATTTGGGTTCAACATGTAAGAAGTAGAAAGTACAGGTATTTGGGTTCAACATGTAAGAAGTAGAAAGTACAGGTATTTGTGTTCAACATGTAAGAAGTAGAAAGTACAGGTATTTGTGTTCAACATGTAAGAAGTAGAAAGTACAGGTATTTGGGTTCAACATGTAAGAAGTAGAAAGTACAGGTATTTGTGTTCAACATGTAAGAAGTAGAAAGTACAGGTGTTTGAGTTCAACATGTAAGAAGTAGAAAGTACAGGTATTTGTGTTCAACATGTAAGAAGTAGAAAGTACAGGTATTTGGGTTCAACATGTAAGAAGTAGAAAGTACAGGTATTTGTGTTCAAAATGTAAGAAGTAGAAAGTACAGGTATTTGGGTTCAACATGTAAGAAGTAGAAAGTACAGGTATTTGTGTTCAACATGTAAGAAGTAGAAAGTACAGGTATTTGAGTTCAACATGTAAGAAGTAGAAAGTTCAGGTATTTGTGTTGAAAATGTCAGAAGTAGAAAGTACAGGTGTTTGAGTTCAACATGTAAGAAGTAGAAAGTACAGGTATTTGTGTTCAACATGTAAGAAGTAGAAAGTACAGGTATTTGGGTTCAACATGTAAGAAGTAGAAAGTACAGGTATTTGTGTTCAACATGTAAGAAGTAGAAAGTACAGGTATTTGGGTTCAACATGTAAGAAGTAGAAAGTACAGGTATTTGTGTTCAACATGTAAGAAGTAGAAAGTACAGGTATTTGTGTTCAACATGTAAGAAGTAGAAAGTTCAGGTATTTGTGTTGAAAATGTCAGAAGTAGAAAGTACAGGTATTTGGGTTCAACATGTAAGAAGTAGAAAGTACAGGTATTTGTGTTCAACATGTAAGAAATAGAAAGTACAGGTATTTGTGTTCAACATGTAAGAAGTAGAAAGTACAGGTATTTGTGTTCAAAATGTCAGAAGTAGAAAGTACAGGTATTTGTGTTCAAAATGTCAGAAGTAGAAAGTACAGGTATTTGGGTTCAAAATGTAAGACGTAGAAAGTAAAAAGTCGTCTAAAAATAAGTAGTGGAGTAAAGTACTGATACCAGAAAAATGTACTTAAGTACAGTAACAATGTATTTGTACTCCACTACTTCCCACCTCTGACTAGAAGAGTCTGAACCTCTTCACATCAATCAAGTCTGGAGTTTTAATGAAACAGATGTCACGTATTAGTATTTCGACTTCTGAGCAACTCGATACGGACGAGTGTGATGTAATGAGAGGAGGATTTCTGATGTAAAAAAAAAGTACAAAACTTGAGTAAATGTACTTAGTAACTTTGCACCTCTGCACGTCGCCCACTTTCTGACGGATTGACAGCTGCTGGTTTTGACTCGACGTAACGTGTGTGCAGTGATGTAATATAACAAAGTACATTTACTCTACTACTGTACTTTAAGTATATTTTGATGCCAATACTTTTGTACTTTTACTCAAGATCTGAGTACTTCTCTCAGCTCTTGTTTGTAAAAGGGAACTGTGAATGATAATAGTTGTTTTAAAAGTCTGATATTCACCTCTGAAATGTAGTGGAGTAGAAATATGAAGTAGAATCAAATGGAAATACTTAAGTCAAGTACAAATATGTTCAAGCAGTGGTGTAATATAACAAAGTACATTTACTCTAGTACTGTCCTTTAAGTATATTTGAAAGCCAGTACTTCTGTACTTCTACTTTTACTAGTACTTCTCCCGTCTCTTGTTGTGTACAAAGTAACTGTGAGTGTTGTCACTTTAAAAGCCCGATATTCACCTCTGAAATGTAGTGGAATAAAAATAATAATACTTATATATCGCTTTTCTAGAAACTCAATGACGCTTTGAAAGAGAGTAACACAAAAGTAGTAGAAGTAGTAGAAGTATAAATTAAAATGAAATGGAAATAGTAAAGTCAAATACAAATATGTCCAAAAAGTACAAAACTTGAGTTAATGTACTTTGTTACTGCACCTCTGCCAATACTTCTGTACTTTTACTTTGACTAGTACTTCTCCCACCTCTTGTTTATATGTGTAAAAGGGAACTGTGAGTGATACTAGTTGATTTAAAAGTCTGATATTCACCTCGTAGTGGAGTAGAAGTATAAAGTGGAATTAAGTCAAGTACAAATATGTCCAAAAAGTACAAAACTTGAGTAAATGATTACTTTGCACCTCTGCACGTCGCCCACTTTTCTGACGGGTTGACAGCTGCTGGTTTTGACTTGACGGCTGGTTTTCAAACTGGGACACGTTCCTCTTCAGGGGCGCTGGGGGGTGAGGGGAGGCGTCCATTGGGAGCTGGTGTTGTGGTGGTCGTTTGTACCCCCCCCCCCCCCCCCCCCCCCAAATACCCACTCCTCCAGATGCCCCACGATGACAGAAAAAAGGACATTTGGCAGTGACTTGAGCTGTCGTTGCTCGAAGCCGAAGCGTGCCAGGAGACAGCTGCAGGATCAGGGTCTAACAACCATAACAAGTACTGGAGTACAAATACTTACTGTTCAGAGAGAGCAAAAGTACACACATCCTTTACTCAAGTAGAAGTACAGATACTTTAAAAATACTCTGGTGAAAGTAGAAGTACTGACTAAACTTCTTTACTCAAGTCAAAGTAAAGAGGGCTTTGAAATGTACTTCAGTAAAAAGTACCCATAACTAGCAGCTGTTTTAAAGAGTACCTGACCTCCCTTTATATTAATAGAACAATAATGTCATTGTTAGCTAATGAATGTTTCCATGCTGAACAACGGCAACATGACAACGTTTTCATTGGTCCCTCTTCTTTAGAGAAGACCAGGAAATGATGGATACACGGATCGTGTTCAAATCAATAGGCACGCAATGACTCTAAATAATAATGATCACGCCATCAAACACAGTAGTACAGTAACAAAGTATTCCCACCTCTGCTTACTGTACTAAAGTACATTTTTCTGGGATCAGTACTTTACACCACTACTTACTTTTTTGACATCTTGTTACTTTTACTTCTTAAATCTTTAACACAAATACCTGTACTTTCTACTTCTTACATTTTCTAAACAGGCTGGTTAATTTGGTTTTAATCTGTGTTTCATTATATTTATTAGAGCACTTTTCCGAATGCTCAAAGCACTTTAAATTACATATTACACATATCAGACATGTAACAGTGAGTACAGAACATTAGGCTGAAGTATCTCGCCCAAGGACACAAAGTTATGGGTACTTTTTACTGAAGTACATTTCAAAGCCCTCTTTACTTTTACTTGAGTAAAGAAGTTTAGTCAGTACTTCTACTTTGACCAGAGTATTCTTAAACATGAGTATCTGTACTTCTACTTGAGGAAAGGATGTGTGTACTTTTGCCATCTCTGTAACTCCCCCCAAAACCCCCCCATTTGCCCCCCAAAACCCCTCCATAACTCTCAATCCACGCTTGGCCACGCGGGGCAACGACCCCCTGAATACGACCATTGTTGAGGCTAAGCCCTCCATATCAGAGCCATGAACCCCCTTAACACACACACACACACACACACACACACACACACACATACACACACACACACACACACACACACACACACACACACACACACACACACACGCACACACACACACACACACACACACACACACACACACACACACACACAGTGGTGGAGTGTGTTGGTGTGTTAACATGATGGACTGCACTTTGATAGCAGCAGCTGTTTGCTGTAGAGACGAAGGGGAGACAATCCACCGTTAAAAACTCTAAATACTGCAGAGAAGAAGAGAGTATGTTAAAGTACATTCTGAAGCTCGTAGGATTCTTTAACACAAGTTTTTAGAGTTTCTTACTTGTTTTGCAGCCATCGCTTTTCACACAAATGAAGTGCAAATGAAAATGAACTTAGCAGTGCAGGAATGAGTCTTACACCCGGAAATAAGTCAGCATTTTAGCACTTCTTCTCCCCTGGTCTGTAAATCAATGGTTTTCTAAATGTGTTTTTATTTTTTTTGTCTGAAATTAAGTCTGTGGTTAACACAAGCTGAAGAGATGTTTGTTCTTTAAAAGCAGAGGTTGCTAACAAGTGTCTAAATGAGACGACTAAACGTCATCACGCCCAACATTAGCCACCTTTAGCTTAGCGGTGGTGACGTGAAGTCATGTGACCATGCTGTAGTTCCTTTATAGCCCAACATTAGCCTCCTTTAGCTTAGCGGTGGTGACGTGAAGTCATGTGACCGTGCTGTAGTTCCTTTATAGCCCAACATTAGCCTCCTTTAGCTTAGCGGTGGTGACGTGAAGTCATGTGACTGTGCTGTAGTTCCTTTATAGCCCAACATTAGCCGCCTTTAGCTTAGCAGTGGTGACATGAAGTCATGTGACCGTGCTGTAGTTCTTTATAGCCCAACATTAGCCTCC